AAAAGTGGCGCCTCACCAATGCCGAGGGATAAACCGCTATCGTATTACAGTATTGCTGACGTATGGGAGGGTTGAGAGGCTACTGCCATAGCTCTGAGGCCACGCCAGTGAGGAAGAATACAATTCGCAGAGGATTTGGTGCTTACCACACCAGGCGCACAAACCCTCTTCTTTGCAGCTTCATTTACGGTGCTAGTGTTTGTAAACTTCTAGTCAGCCGCCACATCTTAGTCAGCCATCGAATTTGAGTTCAACTGTGGAGGTATGCGACCTCAGAGTCTCCCGTCTATTCCGACAATCTCACTTTATCTGGATTTTCCCCCTGTTTAGGAGCTGTATTGGGACAAGGTCATGTGCTGGTCAACACATGCCTGTCGCTGGTCGTAGGACTACTGACCCAAAGCCTGAATCATTTAATAAAGGACAAAGATTAAGGTAATCTTGGAGGAGTGAGGTTCCACATCTATTCCTCCTTGCCACTTTTTTCTCCCTTCAGTGCTGTCCATCCATCTATCCACGTTCTATTCAGCTAGTCGAGAGGTAGAGTAGGTATCGTATGCCCACTTGATTGACATGTTTATGCTAGTACCGCTGATCACATCACACTTAAACCAGACTTCACGCCAGGCCCCCAACCTGTTTCAATTAATTACTCCGTTCCAATTGACCTGCATCGCACCCGCATTCGACATCATGCGAAAAGACAAATAAGAGTAGAACACCACCCAATCAAAATAGAATTCTGTATGTTCAAGCGACACGATGAGTGACAATTACAAATGACCATGGTCCAGGAAATAAAAGACAATGAAAGAGGTAAGTCCAACGTTCAGTTTCGCAAGTGCTCTGGATACTCATTCAGCTCTCCACCACATTATGACCTTCTTTCCGCGTTCACATGAGATCATATAAGTGCCATGGGAACTCCAGTGGGTGCAAATGACCATGTTGCTGAAGGTGTAGATGAACAAGGTCAGTTTAATCAATTTCAAACAACAGTGGCGCAAGGATATTTACAAGTCAGGAAAAAGGACAAAAAAGCAAATCCTTTTAAACCATTAAAAAATCCGGAACATTCAATTATTTGGGATCATACGTCGGCTAACTTGGCTATCAAGTGGGAACATTGCATTCTCCTCCCAAAGTTCTAAAGATTGATGCTGAGGTCCTCAAGTGGCTGGAAGCCTACTGAATCAACAATCTGAGGTCACACAAGGTCTTAACATGGGCGAACGAAGCAACACCCAACCTGATGTAATGAATTTATTGACAAAGTTCTGCGTTAATAATTAAGAAGGTGAAAAATATTCGAGGCGGACCAGTAATGGGTGGATCCGGATAAACTGAATTGGGGTGAACAAACCAGACAAAAGCCTTTCCATCTATGTTTAAGTACGACTTCAATCTAAATGCTTCGGGAACATTAATAGACGATGCTTGACCGATGATTCGATTGAGAATTAACGTACCACGCGAGAGATGTGATTGAATTCCGTCATAAATGACCATGAGGCAGATATGACAGGAGCGGGTAAATGAAATCTATTGAATTTGTGTATAAAAAACCCCCTCAAAACCGCTTTAAAAAGAAGGAGCTCAATAACTCCGATCTAGACTCACTCATGACCGTGCAGAATGCTTTCCACAATCCCGGTGTTGGTATTCCATACAAAGATGTCGCCATTCTGCGATCCACATGCGACGAATGTCCCATCCGGTGAAAAACAAGGCCGAACGCAGTCTGCATGTACATGGAAGTCCTCAGCTTGAAAGGTTTTCAGGATGCTATTTTGACGAAGATCAACGATGTGCAGAGTGTCGTTTCGCGTACAAGCCAGGACATAGGTACCGTCTACATAAGGAACGAGAGGGCGGATTATTAGAGGGGCCTCAAAGACGCGGCACTCACCATTTGAGACATCTAAGCCAGTGATTCGACCGGAGAGAGGGGTCTCTCTGATCTGATGGCCAGATTCCTGATCCCAGATACGAATTTTCTTGTCTGAATGCCCACTGACGAGGCTACGCGTGGATGGACAAGCGAGGATGTCGTAGCATAGGGAAGTGACAAGAATGGTTCGTGAGCACTGACGTCGTCCCACATTCCACAGCTGGCAAGGCAGGAAGACATCAACTTGTAAATGCATTCATTACCTCCCTGCGATCACTTCTTTTTTCAAATGGAAAGGTATGGGTGAGTACTAGGGGTGTTCGTGTTAAACCTGCTACCGTAGTGGCAGGTGTAATATTGCCACTTCTTGTAATAACTAGCCCCGTCAGACATCGCTAGTCATAAAATCAGACAACAATGGCGAGTGCATCAATGGTGCAGTGCGTGGTGATGAATGAAGCCTCTCGTGAATAAGATTAAAGGCGTAAAATTCGTGGATATCTACTCGTATTGATAGAATGCTTCAACCATAATAAAATGCGGGGAGAAGTGTTTAGTAGGACTCTGCAGCCAATGTAAAGTAAAGGCTTCTTTAGGGTCCCAAAAAATTGAATAATAAAACCAAACCTTGATGGTACGATCATAGGAAGCCGTGACAATTCCACTGACAGCATCTCCACCATCGACAAAACGCGCTGCCACCACACGATCCGAGTGACCTGTTAGATTGACCTTGAGACGTCGATCTGCGAGTGTCCAAACGCGACACGCGAAATCACTGGAAGCACCTAAGACCATAGTTTCCTACAAGGAAAAGGGAAGTGAAGTTTATTATGATAGCACAAAAAAACAACGCAAGCGATTGATGCGACCACAACGGGCGTTCAAGTCAAATCGGGAGTTCTGATTTCACAACTACGAAAATCCACGATCCTGTGGCCGCAATACACACGTAAGTGGCAAAGGTGCCATTGCTGCTTACCAAAGTCGGGACACACGTCCCACGTAATCCAATGGAGCAGAAAATAACTGACCTTTAACTACCTGGTTGTCGATGAGTGAGAGTCCAAATGTCGTGATGCTTAAGAGCACCATAATGAAAAAAATTGGGGAGAGGAAAGAGAAATTAACCAAATTTTCACCATCCTAATAAAGCGGAAATTTTTACCTCTTGGTCAAAGTCCACTGCGGTAACTCCGGCGTTGCATCCAACCAAGGAGGTTTGCGAATCGTATTTCTCTGGAGCATAAATGTTAATAGTGAGGAAAAGAAGTCGGTTTTACTTACCACCTCTTATACTGCACAGCCAAACTTTTCTGTCCAGGCCGCCATAGGAGAGCAGCTTTCCCGAAGGACTGATTCTAACGCAATTTACATCATCGGCGGTAGTCTAGCGATTTAAGAAAGCATAGAAGGCGACAAACGACCTACGATAGTGAACGCCATTATGTCGGGTAAAGAAGAAAAAGCACGACCCCTTTGGCTAGAGTGCCCCTCTTCTACGCTAAGAGGCATGCAGGCAGCGTCAAGAAGCCCTCTATGAATTAATTCACGCTGAAGTCTAGGAGTGAAAATAGAAGTAACGACAATGCAAGTGCTCACTGAAGCCTCATATCAGATTCAGAGTTTTTGAGATCCTCAATCTGTTTTTGAAGAAAGGTGATTTGCGCCAAACATTGCAACCTATCCTCCACCAATTCTCTTTTATCATATTCTAGACGTCCCACCGTTAATGCGGTGGCTGTCTGTTCGTCCAAAAGGGTATTGTTAGCAGACTTAAGTTGGTCAATAGTTTCCATACATGATCGATTTATTTTGTTTGATTCATCAAGAAGACTGCTTAACGCCTTTATTCTAAATTTGAAGGTTCGTTAAAATACAAGATAAACCTGTCTGCCTGTTCCTCAATTTGACCTTGCTTCTCCCGGACTTCGTATTGCAACTAAATTGCAATCGAAATTATCTTTGTAGAAACAAAAACCTTTTCTCTTTGACGATGGAGATTAATGACTTCTTCCTGCAGATTCAAAAGCTTCTGTTCCAACTCCGATGAATTTGCAAACTTGGCTACAGCTCTACCTTCAAACATTGACAAAAAAAAGTGCGTTACCCAGCTTCGACCCTAACACTCAATATATTGTTCTCACGTTCGAGCCGAGCATTAATAACATCGAGTTGAAAGACCCGGTCTCGAACACCGGTGTCTTTCAAAAGGTAAAGTAAAATAAATCTAATTACAGTAATTAACTATGCTTTTGTAGCCACGAGATTCCTTGTCGTCACGAACGCAAAGCCGTAAAAGTATATCATCAATCCATAAAGAACCACCCGCAAGTGTCATCAGCTAGGGAAACGAGTTTCAAGGTAGGCGGGGTCTAAGTGGATAGCTAAAACGAGTGTGCTTTAGCTTAAAAATTGCTGGAGGTTAAAAACTACTATTTATAAAAGTAGCACGTAAGTGTTTGACTAGTTTATTAATTGCTGCCCACAACAGGGAGCATAATTGTAGCCTATGCCTATTTTGTACTCCCTTATATATATTCTACTAATAGATGTATATACCACGCCAAAATACAAAATCCTTTATAGCATCTGTTCTTTAATTCAATACTTGGCTTTGAAGTGAGACATGAAGTGATTACTCATGCTCGAAATATAAGGTCTTATTTTTGCTAGGTTCTCAGAAGCATTTGGAATTTCGGATGATTAGGATAATACAATTGACCTTAATATTGAAAGCCAAGAATTTGGGTGGGACTTACTAGCAGTCTGCACGAGTCACAACGTTTTATTGTGCACATGAATCATTTATAGTTTTTTTAGTTTCGAATGCCATGCACAAATGCAGTTTTTCCCACCTAAACATCCCCATATGGGATGCTCTTTATTCATCGTCACCTCATGGATTCGCTTGTATGAATGTCCTTTTAAGCCACTTAACTTAAAAGCCACCTTTACACCACCCAACACTTTATTTGCTATTTAAATAAGTCATCTGCGTCAAACAATGAAAACTATTGCGGTTAATAAAGACATCAAGCTCCACCCAATTGGAAGCAAGCGGATACATAAGTTCCCTTTTCTCCTTTAGCCTGTTTCCTTTCTAAGCCTTCATGATCTACTTATGTCCCGAGAACCCAAAGATTCGGGTTCCCGATGTTGCACCTCCATTGGTGATTCTGATGTTGTGTCCACCTCCTCCGCCTTTTCAAATCAGCTGTCTTCTGAGAACCAGGAGATCTTTGATGCATGTCGTCTCGGTGATATTTCTCGTGTTATCGTGCTCCTAGATAAGGGTGTTTCCGTAAACCTAAAGGACGCTACGGGGAGAAAATCCACCCCACTTCATTTTGCTGCCGGTTATGGAAGGCTAAACGTTGTTGAATTGTTGATTACCAAAGGAGCCGATGTGTCTGCCAAGGATGATGGTGGTAAGCCAATTATTTTTTGAAAAAATATTTTTGTCGATTTTCGAAACTCACTTTTGTCTGAACTTTTTTTGTGATGCAGTCTCCTCTGACTCTTGATCATCTGACAGCATTGGTCTTTTACTCCTTGTCTAGGTCTGATACCGTTGCACAATGCGTGTTCTTTTGGTCACACTGAGGTGGTTCAACTTCTTTTGGCTGCCAATTCTGACCCGAATGCGCAAGACAATTGGCATTATACTCCTTTACATGAAGCTGCTATCAAGGGAAAGGTCGATGTGTGTATTTTATTACTCCAGGTGAGCTTTATTCTTTACGGAAATTTTTATTTTCCACGACTAATTTTCGTGGCTTATGGTTCTATTAGATTGTCGAATTGCTTAATATTTTTCCAGCTCGTCCGAAACTATAGAGCCAAAGTGTCCGGAAGTGTGAAATGTTTTTTGCATTAATCTCAGCTTGCCCAGTTATTGTATTGAATGTCAGGCGAATAAACGAACTAACCGATTCATTTGGAATGGATGGTTAGATGGATATGCTGGAATTTGATTGATGGATTGATGGGCGAACAGATGGATCATGGCTGGGTGGAGGAAAAAGGCAAATCAGCTGGAGTGATTGAGTGGTTGTAATTAGACTTCTTCCTCGATGCCTCCAGTTGTGTTCAACACTTTTGCGCTAATCACATCGTCATTTTATTGTTGGATAGACTGAGGCCATCTCTATGAGAAATTCAACGAATGGTGATGATGGGCATGTGATTTCGATGATTTCATCTGTCACATCTTTCTAGATTAACTGATGGAAGAATCGGAGGTGGATGAGTAAAAGCTGGATGTGTTGCATTTACATATGAATGAATGGGGCGTTTGATGAACAAATAGGTGGTCCGATAGAGCTTTGAGTATATTCACAAGTGTGTGAGGGACAGATAGATCAAATATTGATGGGATGATGGGCAGACATATTGGTGGTTTGAAAATGGGTGAATTGGGGTATGGTTTAATACTGAACGAAAATCCCCACCAATAGAGGTTGATTTTCGATTTTACTAATGACATTCTTCCCTTACTCTTACTTCTTTAAATGATGTTGGAGAACAATTTATTTATGGATTTATTTCAAACTACTTTCTGTAAGGTGCGAAGACATTTTTTTGCTGGTACCTACTTAGCATTGCTCTCATTCGTTAACCTACGAAGCATCATTTTTCATCAATGTATTTTAAACGCTCAATCGTAGTAAATGAATGATCCCCGAGGATTTTCCCCCCTTTCTTGTCTTCTTCAGCGGGAAAGTTGCTGTGAAAATACAATCTGTCATAAGTCCTCTCCTCTCCAGTGAATAAGAATTTCTTCCGTGAATTCGGCGGCACTTCATTTAGTGGACGAACTTCATGGGGAAGAAGAGGGATGCATATTAAAGAAGTTGGTAATAAATTCAACTGACATAAGTAAATGGATGAGCACGACATGGGTGGGTAAAGGGTGGTGACCGAAATGGATGGATGAGTTGCTAGTTTTTGGATTGATGATGCATGTGCGAGTTGGTGGACGGACGGATAGATGGAATTGGGATGGTTGGATGAATGAATAAATGAATGAATGGAAGCAGAAGTTTATGAAAAAGAGCAGTCAGCGGCATCTTCATTTTCCTTTGTAGGCCAAAGCCGATCCATATCTGCGCAACCTTGACGGAAAGACGCCTCTTGACTTTGCTGAGGGTCCGACTGCTCAAGTGTTGGTAGGGGACTTCCGAAAGACCGAACTCCTGGAGGCTGCACGGACGGGAAAGGAGGATAAACTAGTGTCTCTGCTAACACCACAAAATGTCAACTGCCATGCAGACGATGGACGAAAGTCTACTCCTCTCCACCTTGCCGCAGGATATAATCGGTAGGGTGCAGCAGTAGCCTCCTTATAAGTAAATTGATTGTCTGGGTGGGCACAGGCACTGGTGACATAAGCAGAACTGCGTATTCCTAGTGTAAAGGCTGTTTTGAAGCCTTCCGCCACATTTGGAGTTTGCCTGGTGCCACCAACTAGCAGCAAATTGATTTCGTTTGTTTTGCATAATAGAAATTGGGCCAAAATCAGCCACCAACTTAGCTTTCTTTTTTCGTTGAAATAATCATCACTGCAATATGTCATCCCTTCCTGACGAGGAATGAACTCTCGCATTCCACTTTAGCAAATTATTTGTTCACTGGAATCCGAGAAAACCCCTATTATTAGCCGCCTTTAGGCTCCGAACTGTCTATTTAGCATGTGACTGTGAAATGTCAAGAAAAGATGATGCGCATCACTCGGAGAAACCTCATCGGCGGAATACGGTGGGTGAGGCAGTCTCCTTTTCCCACCCCATACCATTCCATCCCATCGCTGGGTGCAGATCCTCCCACAACTAGATATTGCCATACGAGGTGTGAGAGGGCTTTCTTCCAATTAATTGAGTGACTAGTCCTGCCTGTTTGTCAACAAGGAGGGGCCTTTTTGGCCCGTAGTGAATGGCAAGTGCGTAATGAACACTTGGACTTGAAATATGCTACACAAACGCACGTACAAAGAAAATATGTGGATGTAAGAATGAAATGGTACGAGAGACAAACGTGTAGAGTGGGTAGTGTAGGATTATATCGTTTGTGGATTTGTCTTCCATAACGACCAAAAGCCATATTCATGCTATGATGTGTGTATGGACTACACGCAGTATTAGGTTCAAAGCGTGCTCTTTTACCTTTTCTAGTGGCCGTCCAATCCAGCTTAGGTGGCATTTATCGAGATGGGGATGGCATATAACGGTGATAGCGCTTACTTGCGGCAGTCCATGGTGACGAAGTGTCTTTGGAACGGAAACAATTGCTTGCAGTGATGATACGCTCAGTCGGACACCAGTGAGGCTTTTCAGTGGTGCGAACGTTTCGAAAAAAGAAAGACCAGGCACCTGTCGTTTCCAGCTCATAGCTTGGCTTATCATCTATTTGTGTGAACTTGAAAACAGTACTTGGAACATCTAATTCCAAATTCCCGATCGAACTTTATAGGAATGTTGAAAAATCTAAACACGCTAATGCACATCGGTCAACAAAACATGTAGGCAGTCCTAGGATGGTGCAGTCATACAAACGAATTTTACTACGCTTAAGCTTGTATTTGAGGTTTGTCGCAAAGTGAGGTGCACTTTGCATCCCTTAACAATTTTTACCTCATCCGGGGTTGAGCAGCTGATTACCCTCTTATTTATCTACTATCGATGTCGTGTTTGAGTTCACGGAATCATCGAACTCGTAGTTACGTCCCATGCACGTGGCTTGTTCCTTCCTTTTCTTCAAACAGAACTCGGATCGTGCAGATCCTGTTAGCCACGGGTGCAGACGTTCGAGCCAAGGATAAGGGAGGTCTTATTCCCCTACATAACGCTTGCTCCTACGGTCACTTGGAAGTTTGTGAGATGCTCCTTTCTGCTGGTGGCGGTGGATGCGCAGGTGGTTCTGTTGACTCTCTCGCCCAGCAAGTTCATGCTGCTGATCTCTGGCACTACACTCCGCTTCACGAGGCAGCAAGCAAGGCGAGAGCAGAGGTCTGTTCCCTCCTGTTGGCGCATGGAGCGGATCCCTATCAGCCGAATATTCATGGCAAGACCGCATTGGATTTGGCGCCCTCCAGAGAGCTGAAACAGAGGATTGTGTATGAGCGGAGGGGTGAGTTGGAAGTGGATCTTCTTCTTCTGTGTTCATTATTTGCCGGCAGCATCGACTAATTATGCACTAGCATCCTTAATGTGCTTCGGAGAAACTCGTGTTTTTAGAAGCCAATTTCTGTCGTCCATCCACCCATCCATTTATTACTTCATTCACCCATGTGTACACCTTTAATTTGACTTATCCCTACATCTATCCAGTCATCCATCCCACCTCCATTAATCCATCTAAAGATACTCTAGCATTGAAATAATCCCCGGAGGTGCTGCAAAGTAGTCGTGTCTGGTTGCAAGGCTAGAAATGGTGCTCGTGCCATCATTGTGGAGGCTGAATTGCGAAGAACTGGAAGTACCACTTTACCATATCGAAAACACCTTCGGTCTCATCAGTTGTTGTAGATCTCATGTAATTTCGATAAGAAATCGCTTTACAGAGCTCAATTTTGGAAGCTTAACTTTAGACTGGGTAATGTTCCAGCGCGTGCTTTATCAGTATATAAATGGCTTAATAGAAACAGTTATTTAAAAGGGAAACTTTGGAACTACTTTTTGGTATCCTTCCTGCTTTTTGCTGTTTTCCCACCACTTAATCGTCTGTCTGAGTAGATAGCAGCTTTTAAACTCTTTCAATCCAGGTGCTGTTTCCCTACTGACAGTAACACAGGGCTCTATAGTCAGCTATTCATCTTCGCAAATCTAGCCACCCACAGCTGTAGACTCCCTTCTGTAGATATCAGCCGATTCACTTGAACGTTGGCCTTCTTTGAGGTACCAGTGAAAGTCTTCCTAATCTTCACAGGGATAAAGGCATCGGGCATATTCAGTCGAGCGACTGCTAGTGTAGCACCAGATGTCCTTCCCTTCACATACCAGGTGCTTTATTAAATACTGCATCTTTGGAAGTGAAAAAAATGTGGAAGATGATCACTACTGCCTTTGTATGTGTATGCATGTTTGGAATTCTTCTCTCCCCTTTTTCGTCTCCTCCGGTCCACCTGATTGGCTACTTACAATGCGATGGACTATTGATTCACCGACCCTCTTCGTGCACGCGCTTGTTATTCTTCGGACAGACACGTGCGCACCCACACAGCTGTATCCATTTGTCTGTGTGCCGGTCCCTGTTCACACGTATTTGCGCGCAATTCTTTGTAGGCCACCTCCTTCTCGAAGCTTGTCGCCGATGCGATCTGGTTCTGGTGAAGCGTCTCCTCAACTCCACTGATGATGTCCACAAGACTGCTTCCACTTTTGTCGCCGCTCCTGCTATTGCGGCTATCACGTCGTCAACGGAACCACCTCTTCCTTCCATTTCTGACGAATCTAGAATGCCGAAGAAGCCAGCAATGCCCGGAGGTTTGGCGTCACTGTCGTGTGGGACTCCTGACCTCATCCACTTTCGACATCCGTTTAGTGGAGACACGACACTCCATATGGCAGCTACAGTGATTGTCAAGGTGGATAGAAGTAAGGAGGATGATAGAAAAACGACTTCGCCTTCCTCTATGGTTCTTGTCAGCCAAAGGCGGCAGTTGATTGAGTTTCTGATCTCCAGGTGCGTTCAAATCCCATTTCTTCGTCCACCCATGCATTTGGGATCCCCAATAAATTCTCGCTTTTCATGCACCTGCACATTTTGGCCAGACACTTATATATGAGTTCCATCCAATGATACCGGATTGGCTTGTCACCGCCCTAAACGTAGTCGAATATATCATCCCTGAACATGCACAGTAAAGCTTATTAGTATGGAATCCAGTTTATTATAAGCAGAGGGCTCTTATGGGTATAGACATGACTCTAGCCGCCAGCGACTGAAGAGCTGGCGTAGTTAAGCTTTTAATTAAAGTGAATCTCTGGGTTGCAGAGGTGCTGGCCTAAGTGAACGCAACGCGGAAGGTCGTACAGCTCTTCACGTAGCCGCTGCCTCAGGATGCGTGGAGGCGATTCTGGCTCTGGCGCAACATGGAGCTCAAGTGAATGTCACCGATGTACAGGGCTATTCGCCTCTCCATTTGGCCTCAGCCAATGGGCATGCAGTCGCTGTGAGACTACTTTTGGACAGTCTTGGAGCGGATAGAAATTTGACCACTGTGGGAGGCGGAGGAGAAGGAAATGGTACAGGTCGTACAGCACTCCAAATGGCAGCTTCGGATCGAGTTCGGCGGATGTTCTTGGAACCAGTGGAATCTGTGTCGGCAGTGTCAGAATCGGCGTCCACGCCTGCAGCGGTAGCGATCGTCTATCCAACTAATGGTGAATTTAATATCGTTTTCAAAGGATTCGAGGGAATAAGTTGGAGCCCCTTTAGCCATGAGTGAATGGGCGACACCTCTTACGCTTTTGAATGCTCATTCTGTTTGTTCCATATAACTCAAAAAAGGGGTCAGTTGATTGCTTAGGGAGCACTTGAACCAAGGCGATTTAGGGACCTTTCTGAGTTCCACCAGTTTTAGGAATCCTTGAAGCAGAGGAGAAAGTCTCTTTAGTAGGGTGGTAGAGTTCGCTAGATTCCCCAAGCTGTCCTTGAACTGAGGGCTTCTTTAAATGTGGTTGCTTCATTTCAGCTGTACTTCTGCAGTTGGACATACAATTCCTAATGAGTTAGTAAATTCCTTGAATGCTTAAGGGCATTGAAATCTATCTTTTCAGTCCTTGAACTAAGGACTCCTTTACGTGAAGATTACGGTATCATTTCAGTTGAAAGTGTCCTTCAATTTGGACAGAAAATAATCTGGTAGGCTGATAAATATCTTGAATCGTCGTAAAACTGTGCTTGGTGTGATATTTCATTTATGAAGTCCTACTTTCTGGGTTCTTATATAAATCGAAACGCCATTTTACCCATTACTAGCTCTCTTTCCCGATTCCAAACCCTCGACTTCTATCGACCAGAAGAAGCTTCCCTCCGTCTCGGGTGGATCCACCCCTCAACCATCTGGTAGCAACAGTAATGGAAGTGTAAGCACCTCACAGATTCCTTCGAAAAAGTCCTTCGCCGCCGCTACCGCCGTCACTTCTATCCCCTCCTCTTCCTCCATCCCTTCCAATGGCAACAACAGCAATACCGCATGGGCCAGCGTTGTCCTCCAACTCTTGGAAGCCGCCAAGGCAGGCGACGTCGATCTGGTCTGTCGTCTTGTTGTAGCCTATCAACGAGGCCCTGAGGGGGATGGTAATCCACCCACAGATCTCATCAACTGTCGGGATATTGATGGGCGCCATTCAACGCCACTGCACTTCGCCGCAGGGTACAACCGGCTGGCGGTTGTGGAGATGCTTCTTAAGTTTGGCGCCGACGTACATGCGAAAGACAAAGGAGGTCTAGTGCCATTGCACAACGCTTGCTCATATGGGCATGCGAAGGTGAGGTTTCGTTGAAGTTGACAGCAAAACAGACGTCTCTATCCATTCATTCCTGACCTTTGCAGTTTTTCCGTGCATTCCAAAGCTACTCGTCGATATCATACCTCATGCTGCCTATTTTTTCGTCCATATACGTAGTTTTTATAGTCCAACTACTTACCCACCCAACATTGTGGGTCCCTTGGTCCTAGCCACATCCCCCCGACTTAACACCCACTCATCCACCCCGTATACGTTCATTCATGCATCCATCCATCCGTCCATCCATCCATACATCCTCAAGCTGGTAATTAGAAATTGTCAATTTTCTACCAAGATAAATTTAAACTTGTTGTGATTCGGCTGTTACTTCTCCTGCGATTTTAGGTGGCGGAGTTGTTAATTCAACACGGTGCCAACGTGAATGTTACCGATCTCTGGCGCTTCACACCCCTTCACGAGGCCGCTGCAAAGGGCAAATTCGATATTTGTCGCCTCCTTCTCAAGCACGGTGCCGATCCGACTCGCAAAAATCGTGATGGTCACACACCGCTCGATCTTGTCAAGGTGAATCATTCTAAATTTTCCTCAGTAGCTATGATGGCTTATGTTACAATTTTAATGAGTGGCGTTTTGCTTAAAGATGAAATTCATAACATTGGATTCTGGATTCGTTGTTAGCTTTTTGTTCAAGTTCCAGATTCGGGAGGTGCTGATCCTTCATTAGTTGTCTCGTAACTTTTCAAAATTAATTAACAATAATTATACAAGTTAGAGTGCCGGCTTCGAGAAAGAATGCCAAGTGCTCATTTAAACTTTGTGATATGCGCTTTCTGTTGAAATTGTTTCGTAGCAGACTGATTTTGTGCCAGTTCTACTTCAATCTTCTGAAACCCCCCGACTCAAGACCAAGATTAGTATTTGAAAATTTAGAGATTTCGCCAGATTCCGTAGGTTACAAATTTCTTTTCTGTTTATTTCTAATCTTCCGCGAGTTACGTTGAAATTTCATCTCAGGATGCTAGGCCATCATTGAACCCTCAAAGAGTGCCGCTCCTGTTCAAGTCCCAATTTTCGCAATCTAACTAATTCGGAACAGGGATACCATTGTCCAGAGTTCGACGTGCCGTGTTAACTTCCTGTTGTATCGCAGTGGAATGTTTTCTGTTTCATTATCAAGCTCTCTGATTTCCAAAACTCGCCAGTTCATTCCAAAAACATTCGTATTTGGTGAAGAGGAAGAACTTTTGTGGATGTTTGCTTTTGACTTATTCACAGCTCTGTCTCACTTTTCAACCATTCCTCCATCTTACCTTTCCAGGACACCGACAGCCTTGTCTACGACCTCCTCCGCGGTGATACCGCAGTCCTTGAAGCTGCCAAGCGCGGCAATCTCGCCAAAATCCAGCGTCTTATCACTCCCGAGAACATTAATTGCCGCGACACTGCGGGTCGTAACTCCACACCCCTCCACCTCGCCGCGGGCTATAACAATCTCGAGGTTGTGGAGTTTCTTCTCGCTGCCGGCGCTGATGTTAACGCTCAGGACAAAGGCGGCCTCATCCCTCTGCACAACGCCAGCTCCTACGGCCATGTGGACGTCGCTGCGCTGCTGATTAGGCACGGGACCTCGGTGAATGCAGTGGATAAGTGGGGCTACACCCCTCTTCATGAGGCGGCACAGAAGGGAAGAACGCAGTTATGCTCACTTCTACTGGCACATGGAACTAACCCCATGGCGAGGAATGAGGAAGGTGGGTGGGTGGGTCGTCTGGGCACCGGTTGAGTGTACTGCTGCAGAAAGGCGAATGGATGGTTCACTTCGACCGCTGAACCCGGGTTCTCGTAGACCGTTTTGTGTGTGCTTGTGGTTTGGGTGATTTGGTCACTAAAGTTGGATTTCAGTAGTGTTTGTGGAGGGCAGGCGATTAATGGATGTCAACTGTTGATTTTTTATAAAGGAAGTAAGAAAGAAGCGACCATAGAAAGCATCTCAAAGTCGTGCCCGTTGGGTGTTTCGTGCTCAAGGAGGCAAGAGTTGAGACAGTCCACCTGAGTAAAGCATTTGGTCTGTGGAAGGCATGAGGAGGCATGGTCCTAGCCACCTGCGTTACCATCTCACGCTAATTTCTGGGCTGCCCATTTGACATGCATCTGTGAGATTTTGGAGAGGCATAATTTGGAATTGCAGCAGGTGGGGTTGAGGTCGAGGTGATTACCCCTTCCCATCCCATCCTATCCTATCGTCAGGTGCAAACCTTCTCTGCTATTACGTCCCCGTGTGCATGTGTTTGGATCCTTTTGATCTTCCAATCTAGTTATCAATCAGCCCAACTTCGGTAGAGATGGCTTCATTTACTAACTTGAATGGGTAAGCGAGGGGAGTATGGAGTACGTAAGGGCCTTGCGGCTGGCTGCTGGAGGCTGGTTCAAGCGTAATTATCGTGACCGACCTTCACTTTATATTGAGTATTGGCGCCTTTATGCTTGATATGAAGTCAACCAGGAGGGACTAAAAAAAGTTCGACCTTTTAGAACATTTGGAGACTAACTGTAATGAAAACTTCTAGAAAATCGAACCGAAACTTCTTTTGCTGAGGTTGCAGCCATCCCCAGTACTCAAGTTACCAGGTATGAGAGGATTTTCTTCCTATTAGTTGGGCGACTGGTGCTATCTGTTTATCAATGAGGAGTTTATGTTGCCTATAGTAGGTGGACAGCTCGTGAAGTGGACCACACGAAGAAAGCCTGAGCTTGTAATAATGAGGTGGTACTTATCGTACAAGTATGGGATGAACGGTGAATCGTTTGGGGGTACTCAATGGCGTGTTTGTTCGCTTAATGACTGTTGGATCACAGAAGTCACTTTTCATCATAAGTTAGTCGGCAAACAATTTAAAATTGGTGCACTCCTATGAGGTGGAGGAAGCGGAGGGCGCTTTGTGTCACGTAAGGAGTGGCTGACAGGCTAATGTCATGGCCGCCTTGATTTTAAGGGTGTGGCCAAATGTCTGTCAACTTCAGGGCCACCAATCACCTCCCAGCTATTACTTCCATGTTTTCGACAGATCCATCAACTTTCCCCATTAAGTTGGCTTTTTTTCGCACCCTAAAGCTCCTTAACTAATACACCCACAAAATTACTTCATTTCCGAAACTTTAGTGGTGGATTTGACCACTGACGGATTGTCACTTGCTGTCGTTAATTACGCTACTCATCATGCATCTTCTGTTTGTGAACTCTTTCTCGTCCAGCTCTTGAAAGAAAGCAGGAAGGTCGGGGTCTAGGTAAGTTGAGGTTTCATCACGGGGTTCATTTCTCCCCCCTTTTCTGTTGGGAAAACTCATTTAACCTTCATTTGTACACCGAACCAAAAACTGGCAAGTCTTTGCCCTTCCAATTAATGTGCTTAATTGTTTTAGCTGGTCAAGAATGTACACTTTATCGTTTCGATAACCGTTGACCAAATTTACGAGTGAACTCACTGATTGGACAAATCGGATCGTCGAAGGAGGACAATTTTGAGAGAGGGTGACTGGTCAAAGAAGAGGCGAAATCTCAATGTCATTTGCAAGACGTGCACATAAGAACACGCTTTAACTACCACGTCGCAAATACAACAAACGGGCTGGTTGGATTGTTTACAAATGGTGTTGCGCGAAGGACTGAATGAATGCGAACGAGGATTTTTGTGTGTGTTCGTTCGTTGTCTATTATGTGCAGCGAAATTTGGTAAATGCCTCATCGCGGACGGGCTTATTAATTATGGCTCAAGCGTTTCGGACGCTCACATCTGCCTCCTTATGGTGTATCCTCGAGGGAATTGACAAATGTGCACATCTGAACAAACGAAAAGACGGCTGTAGGTGAAAGCCTGGCACATAGAGACAGACTGTCGGACTTTTTCTTTAAATTCCTTTGAACGAAGTCACCGCACTACTGAGTACTTTCGTTCCAATAGTGTTGATTATTTCAAAAAAAAGTAGCTAATGTCCCACCTACTCGACGCCTAGTCTATTCGCACAATGAGCCAAGTTGCCTGCCCACCTGTTTGTTGCATTCTAGCAAAGCTGCTAGCCATTTCCACTCACTACATAGTGTCCAATTTTGGGTGAGCGTCTGGATTCTGCGGAGTCGGAATATTGCGGGCAATGCCCCAGCTCCCCAGTTTTATGAGGTGTCTCCAAATCGAACTCTTTGGATGTCTACTACGCGTCCATTCTTTACCGTACCACTTCATTGTCACCTCAGTGAGGTACACCGAAAGCAGAGGCAGAGATGGTAATCCTATTGTCTACCGTTGAGTTCCTTTCATGGACAATATGAACTTGTTTGATGAAACCTTTGACTTCGATACCGACCCTGCTGTGAGACTTTAACTTAAGACAGTTGTCAAAAATTGATGTGGTCCCGGAAGCACCTCTTTTGTGTATCCATGCAAACCTAGTTATCCGCCTCCCACTGAGTTTTCTTGAAGCCATCAATACGAAGAGAGACGTTATTTCTTACAAAGTGTGGAATATACTGGACATCGTGCTGCACCCAAGTAGCTCTCAGACGTGGGCCACGCAAATATGAAGGCGTTTCTTGTGCTTACCGCACCAGAGGCCAGAGGGATCGTTAGAAAAGGTGGCCTTACCGGATCCCCATGTGACTGCTGGAATCTGTTTCCTCAAAGCCATGATGTCTGCTTCCTGTTTTAAAATCATCTATTCCCTTCGTCAGGTCAAACCCCCCTAGATCTGGCCACAGCTGATGACGTGAAATGTCTCCTCGCGGACGCAATGCCCTCCGCCATCGGAGCTCCTGCCTGTCTACCCCTTCCATCCCACATACAACATTCACAAGCCTGTAATCTCCAGCCAACAACGTCCACAGACGGTCCACGTATAGAGGGTCAGGGCAGGGCTGAAGATGAAGAGCAGCAGTTGCAACAGCAACCACAGCAATCGTCGTCAGTATCCAACATGCTCACACCAGCCCTCACTACTGCCAGCTTCCTCACTTCCCTTGGCCTTGATCATCTTGTCAAACTATTTGACAAGGAACAGGTTTGGACCTTTCTGCCAATCCAAATCTACTCTCTTAACTTCCTGCTCAGTCCAATGTGTTCTTTTCTCTCTCCAAGATCACTCTGGACATCTTAGTGGACTTGGGCCACGAGGAGTTAAAAGAATTGGGTGTGATCGTCTATGGTCAGCGTCACAAAATAATCAAGGGCATCGGGCGATATCGATCGCTGATTGCAGCCTCTACAACCTCCACCACGCCTACCAACACCACTGCAGCATCATCTATTCCCTCAATGGAGGACCCCTCCACGCGAGTGGTGGGTGGAGGTCATTTCAGAGGCGTTGGAGTGCACGAACCCATACCGCCCGGTTCGGATTGCTTTCCAGCTGCAGCTGCTACAGAAACGGTGTTTGTGGACGTGCCGAGGGATTCGAATGAATTCAGAGATGTGGAAGAACAGGTAGGTGATTAAATTAAGGTGGAACCGAGTTTAAATTTTAGGGCTTTAGTATTATTACCTGTGAACGTAACTGGGGAAAAGAACGTGTTATTCATATTTTTCGATAACAGCTTCAAAGCAGCATCCGGCAGCACAAAGACAGTTGCGGTGGCGTGTTCCAGAGCCTTCATGTGCTGGAAATTACCCGCATTCGGAACCGTCGGATGTGGGAGCGCTACGTACACCGTTGTGCTGAGATAGCCGAGGACTGTGGCGGTAGCAGCTGCAGTGGGGGTAGTAGCAGCACCAATGGTGTTGGTCACTACAACGAACGCTTCCTCTTCCATGGTTCGCCCTTCCTTCATTCTATTGTCACTCGTGGGTTCGACGAGCGTCACGCCTACATCGGTGGCATGTTTGGTGCGGGCATTTACTTCGCGGAGAACTCCTCAAAGTCCAATCAATATGTCTATGGTATTGGTGGGGGCACAGGCTGTCCTAGCCATCGTTCTCGATCCTGCTACATCTGCCCTCGCCAGATGCTTCTGTGTCGCGTCGCTTTAGGCCGTTCTTTCATCCAATTCAACGCCATGAAGGTGGCTCATGCGCCCCCCGGACATCATTCAGTGGTTGGGTTACCCTCAGCAGGAGGCTTGAATTTTGCAGAGTATGTGATTTATCGGGGTGAACAGGCGTATCCGGAGTATAGGATCACATATCTCCTTGTACCCCCAGATGGCACGTCCACAACTGCTAGCAGCAGTAGCAACAATAAGCCTGCT